GATATTGTGAGATATTTTTAGAAGCAAACTTAGGTAATGAGAATCCCGAAACTGGTCCCGTACCTATTTTGAGGACTGTTTGCCACAGTGGCTCCCAGTGCAGAGAATTAGCCAGCTACTCAAAGTAAATGGGGAAAGAAAGGAAAACTAGGCAGCTGGATTAAAATAAATTAACAAATAAATAAGAAAGAAAGAATAAGCAGAATCTCATCCCATAAACTGCTCTTGGCCGTAAGGCTTGTGTCTCCAAGGTGGGATTTTGGGATGGGCTCAGCGATTCCATCAGGATGGGAACTGCGATTCCAAGCTACCACATCAAGAACAGTCCCTTGTCTTGATCTGGTTTTTACTTACCAGTGACGATGGTTGATACCTGCATTTCCAGTGCTGGCTCTAGTTACAAGAAAAGGTATATTTGGGTATGTTAAGGGATTTTCAAAATGTAAGAGGCTGGATGAGAGCAGAACAGGGTGGCACCAAGAAGTTCTCACGCAAAAAACCCTCTCAGTCTTCATGAAAGATGTTAATAGCAAAGCAATTCAGAGACTCAACACAGCAAGAGAAAAACTCCTATAAAAATCACACGTTTAGGAACAAAGACAACTTCTAAAGTGTTTACATGAGTAACACTAAAAGAGATGGGTACCAAGAGTTATTTGGTAGATGGCATCAGCAGAAAGCTCAAATGCAGAAAGAGAATCCATTAGTAACTCCCTCGGGGGAAGCGGGGCCAGGGCACAAACATTCACTGTATTTAAACATACCGCAATTATCTGCGAGCTGAGCAGCTCTAACAAAAGATAAAGCGAAGACCCCACACCTCCGCAGACGCTCAGTGCGAGCACAACGCGAGTTGAACAACTCAGCCCGTGGAGCCCGTCCTGCACTCGGGCTCAGCTCTGGAGTGACCCGGAGTGGAGAAGAGGGGCTGGGGGCAAGCGGGATGCAAACCTCGCTGCACCCAGGGGAAGGATGCAGCAGTCTCGAGTCCCTGGTCCCGCAGAACAAACAACAGCAGGCTAAAGATAGTCCTCGGCTTGTAGTGCCATTGCACGGGGTGGATTTCAGCTGCACGGAGCTGCTGGGATGAAACATTCCACTCCCCCAAGGAGCCGGACAAGATTACTGTATATGGGCAAGCATTCCCCTGCCACGGGCTTCTCCCTCCGTGGTAAACAGGCAATCCTCCGGCTGCACAGCCGGGAGAGAGCTGGGCTGTCTCGCAGGGCCACGAGGATTCACGCTCTTGGAAACCCAGAATAATGGTTTTTATCTCAGGGCGATCTAGCAGAGGGGCAGAGAGGCCTACAAACAGCTGCACAACAAGAACCTCTGCTTAAATTTTAGTAGCTTTTAACCATCAAGTAGTTCTCAAGCCCCAGACTCCTGGTGTTGCTTCACTATGGGTCTCCACAAGCACATAAACCTGGAGGGGTCACAAGGAGCAGAGCTGCTACCCACCGTGACCTCGGGCAAGATGCTTAAAACCGAGCTAGGACCATGCGTGGAGAGGGGCTGTGGAAGGGCAGGGCCCAGGGACTGTCACAGCCTATTTCTGACCCCCGCAGCCGCTGTCCTGCCTGCTCCCCTGCCGGCAGCACGACGAGGGTCTGCCAGGGCGGGCAACTGGGGAACAGCACCATCCACCAGTGCAGGGCCTGGAAACCGTTCACGTCTTCTGCCTCAGGTCTGCATGGGAACACAAAGCTGGACCTCCACGTTCAGACTCCAGTTCCCACGGGAGTATTTGGGAGCAGAGGGTTTTCGTTGCCTTTTGTACAAAAGAGTCGAGCCGTGCGTGGGGGGCACTGCCTTCAGCAGAGCTTGTCTGGATGGGCGCTAGGTAGGGGAGCGGATCAGCTCCGCAACTACTCCGTACAGGTCATGGGATGATCCCTTCCCACCCAGCTGCAAAGGAGAATGACTTCAGTCCCAATTTAAATGACATACCATATTCTTTGGACTATCCAATTTCTTTGCAACTCACACCAAGCCTCAACTCCGCAACTGTTCTTACCCAAGCTAATCCCAGGGCAGGCACGAAACCCTGCACAGCTCGAGAAGAGGCCTGCTCCTGCAGACTCTACTTGGCGCCATAGCTGGAACAAAGTTCTTTTTTTTCTTCTTTTCCAGTTTTAAAGTCAGAGCTAAAATGAAGCCAAGGTGAGCTCATGACGGTGGTTCTGCTCCGAGCTTCCTGTTGCCGTACCAGAACAATCCTCACGGTACAGGGACAGTGACGGGTTGGCACATCATGGAATAGGTGCTATAGAAACCACACGGTTCTTAGAAGCAAAAGATTTCT